GCAATCTTTTAAAGATATTAATTAAAGTCAGTTTTGCATGATAAAATTATAGATATTAAAAATGAAACATTTCTTCATTTGAACAATGTTTAATCTAAATATTAAGTGACAGCCAACTTCGGATTTTATCATTGACATGACATCAGAGGAATTGTGGCAGACAATATTCAGTTTAAAATTTTGGAATTCAAAAATTGCACACATACAGTTTGTTTAGCAAAATCATGTCTAACTCCCAAGATCCACAAATCTTCAAAATTTAGCTTACAGCTGCTAGAAATTTGTATCTAGTATCAAAGAAAAATAGAAAAATTGTCTAGATTTTTCTGTCTACATTAGGGGTCTTCAAACTTGACAGTTTTAAGACTTGTGGACTTCAACTCCCAGAATTCCTCCTCCAGTGATGTTAGCTCAGGAATTCTCAGAGTTGAAGTCTTAAAATTGCCAAATTTGAAGACCCCTGGTCTAGATGTCTAAGAGTTCATGGGAAACACCTCACTCTCTCTGCAGAAAAGCAGAATATTCTTTAACATGCAATATAAAACTGAGCTACTTGTACATTACTTCAGTTATAATTTCATCAGTCCCAATTTCATCAGTCTTACAAACAGATGTAACAATGACAAATAACCTTATTCAACTGTAAGAAAATTCATGTCTGTGCTCTAAGCAGTTTCTAGTCTAAACATATCCAGAGATCCAATACCAATCAAACAGAAAAAAAAATCAAAGGAACAAGAAACAGTAGTAATCAGGGGACACAGTTGTACCAATAAAGATGACTAAACAGACTTAAAGACAGGAAAAAGTAAGCAGTTAGTAAAAAGACAAAAATATAAAAATGTCATGACAAAGAGCAAATTAAAAAATTAAAATGTCATGACAAAGAGCAAATTAAAATGTAGATCCTTGAACTACATTCCCAAAGGTACCTTTACTAAAAGGCAACTGGACTTTCTTGGGGTTTTTTTGTTGTTGTTTGAAAATGTTTAACTTCTAATATTTTCAAAGAAAAAAAGGCAAGAAAGGTGTGTTTTGTTTTGTTTTTGGAAAAAGTATCTTTGGGACAATCATGACCTGGATGATTAAGGATCTCCATGCACACTTGAACTACAATGCTCCCTTTGCTGTAAATTGTTTAAACTTAAATTGTTTAAAACATTATTGGTGAAATATTCAAGGCATTTAGAATTCTTTGGACAAAATCCAAAAGATAAAGGGGTTTTTATCAAATACACTGATCTCAAAAATATGATTTCCGTAGTTAGACTTTTTCAACGATTTAGTGACATTTTTCATATTTTATAGCAAACAGTCCACTGTACAATATGGAATAGATGTTTGTAAAGAGAAAAGACTTAACGAACCTCAATTGTTTTTATATTCTTGTTCAATGGCAATGGTTTAGAACAAATTACTACTTTTCAAAATAAAAATACTAATCTGGCATTTCCACCATTAAACAAGATGGGAATCAGTTTATATAGTGAAGGAATAGAAACAGTTCAAACATATTTTAGTAAATCAATGTTTATAATAAGATGACAAGAAACGCTGAAATGGAAATACTGGAGGGAATGAAGAAAGTTTAGTAGCAAATTAATAAATATTAAATAAATAAAATGAGGAAATTCTGTCTCCTGTATTCCTAATATGAATAGACTAAATCTCCCATGCAAAACAAAGGGAGGATAACGTCAGAGGAAGCAATAACAACAACAGGAAAACACATATTTAATTTGTAAAACACAAAATGGGAAGATTTTTGGAGAAATAGATATAAATAATAAGCCCATGAGAAACATGGAATCATAGATTTGAAAGGGATATTGAACATCTAGGCTAGTGTTTCTCAACCTTTGCAACTTTAAGGTGTATGCATTTCAATTCCCAGAGTTCCTCAGCCAGCAATGAATAAGAAATATTCTAAGCACAAATTGATTGTCCAACTTGAAAGCCTCTTAGAATGGAGCACCCACAACTCAAAGGGAAAGTTGTTCCACTCTTTAAGAGCTGTACTGGTAATGAAATTCTTCCTTATTTCAAGTTTGGATTGTATAAAGCAATTGACATTCACTTCAACAGAGCATCTATTCTGTGGAGGCCTTGTGATGTACTTTGCAGAAGTCAAGAGATAATTCAATTTAATTCTTCAACAAAACAACTGAATGGCCTTAGACCATCTGAGGACAGAGTTGTGGAAAAAGGCCTCCTCACCACCTTCTCCAATGCTGGATAAAGTGCTTCAGAGCTGGACAGTTTTCAGTGTATGTTAAAGCTGCCTTGCTGGGAACACTGCCACTGACCAGTTTGGAAAAGCTTTCAGACTTTGTAAATTTGGCACATGGTGCAGAGTTATCTCTAGCACTTGCTGAAAATATAAAGTTTAGAAGACCTAAAGCATATTGCTAAGGGCCCTCCAAAGTGGACCATCTTCAGTGAGTCACTGTGGACCACAGCATTTGCCAAAGCTGACCAGCTTGGAAATCCTCTGGCCAGTGCTGCAGGAGAAGAATTCCCACAGCCTCCTTTTACAGGATTTGCTCTGCAGTAACAGACCAAAAGGCAATCTGAGGCACAGGAGCAGGGCCATGTCACTTCACCCTTTGAATTAGATGGAATCAATTTTACTGAAATGAAGAAGCCACTGAAGCTTAATAAACAAACATTTTTGCATGTTCACTTTATCTTCAATTAGAACTTCAAGCTACAGTAGGTTGCAGCACTTAGCTGATCTTGACTGGCCCCCAAGGAAGTGACACAGGATTTGACCTGGTTAATAACTTGCATAAGAAAGTATCACAAAAATCCCAGGAGTATGCTAGATTGAACTAAACCGACTAGTCTTAAAGCAATGGCAACTAATTGCTGAATAATTGCCATGAAAACTGCAGGAATAGGTAGAGAGAATCAAAAGAGCACAAGGAGTTTTAAGTGTGTCAATCTGCAGACTGATTGACAGCTTTCCATGAAACTGACCATGTATGCAAAGATTTCTCAGTGTACACAGCTGAAATAATCCTCTCTCACATTATGCATATTTCTTTTAAAAGAGCATACCGTATATCTTTTGGATTCCCTGCAAATCATCATTAGGTAGTTTGAAATTGTCAGTTTCCATGTATTGGTAAAATGGAGCCATAATGGCAGTTGGATCGTTTGAATGCTCCAATCCAAGGGCATGTCCCAGTTCGTGAACTGCTACTAGAAACAAATCATTTCCTGGAGGAACAGAAAAAAATGTATATAGTATTTATATCTCCACTTGTTTAAGCAATTTACATAAAAGCATAATTTAAGTAAATTTCAATCTCGGTTTTCAAAATTGCAGGACTGGCAGCTATATACATCTTACTCTGTGAAGCTTGAGGATGTGTTGAAGATTCCTAAACAGAAGAGAACTCTAAACGTGTTCTTTTAAACATTTTATGGCTGTGAAAAAAAAAGAAGAAAAGCACTGGGAGCTCAGGTATTTAAAAAAAAACCTAAAATAACACTGATTCCAAAAATCAGTATGTAGCTATTCAAATTTTTTCAGATTTAGTGAGATTTTTTTTTATTTTGCTACTGTAAATATGGTATAGAAGTATAAATGTATTTCTAAAGCAGAGAAGTAAACAGAGAGCAGACAGTGAACCTCATGCTCTTGTTCAAACAATAATAGTTCTATAAATATCAATTTAACATACAAAAAAAATTAAAATTTACTAGGCCAATATGAGTACTTTTTATATCTTGAATAGTAAATTGTTATATATTTCACTACTACTCCATATGTTTCTTTGATCTACATTTATGCAATTTTCATTTTGGTTGCATTTTGGAATCCTCGATCTCAAGTATAGTATTTCTACTAAATAATTCCAAATTTCCTGGATCTTTCCAGACAATCCATTTTCATCAGTGTCCATGCCAGATGAGCATTAGTTCTCATTCAGCCAGACAAAACCAACAGGATAGCAGACTTGACCACTGCTACATAAGGGACAGGTGGAAACCAGCCCTCTTGACCAAAAAGAGATTGTGTAGGCAAAAAAGAGTCACAAACTGATTGAATATTTATGCTATAAATAGGATTTGCTCTTGTAACACAGCTGTTGGTAGACTTTTCATTATGGCTTCCTATTTTTCTCAAAATAATTATTGGAAATTCTTGGATTCTTGTGAGATGCAAGAAGGTTGACAAGATTCTTCTTAGTAAAAAACGCCCTGAAAACTGAATCTTCTTCTATAGCATTGGCCAATGAGACTCTAGCACTTGGTGGTTCCAGTGTGGATTTCAGAATTCCAGAAACCAATTTCCACTGGATTCCATCTTTCCACTGGATAAGTTTAATAATCAAAACAATATATAAACAAAACTTACCAAAATCTGAATAACTATGCAGTATTGTTATTGCCAGTTCTACTCTCTCTAAGGAGATATTCACATAACAACTTATTTCAAGAAAGTGGATCTTAATCCACTTTATGTTGATTTCTGTTAGAACTTTAGATGATTACAGCTTTCCAGAAAATATTGTAATCTAGTATTTCAGGTATTTTTAGAATACCATAATAGGACAAAAATAGAAAGTAGTACTACTGAACCTATTCTCAACACCATATAAGACAATCAGTTTGATATAGTGCAGGGGTGTCAAACTCATGGCCCATGGGCCAGATGCATCACGCGCTGGCCACGCCCACCCCCATTTTGGTGGAAAGTCACAATATGTCATGTGACAATGTGACGATGCAAGTTTGACACCCCTGATATAGTGGAATATGTGGCTAAAGGCAGTAAACTAAAAAAAAAATCAGATTGTGAGTTCTAGCCTTACTTTAGAGATAAAGCCAGCTGGCTAACTTTGGCTATGTATTCTTTCTCAGTTGTAGAAAGACAATAGCAAACCACTTCCAAAAATCTTACTAAGGAAACTACAGGGATTTATCCAGGCAGACATTAGGAGTCAAGACTGACTGAAGTCAATATTTCAAACATTAATATTTCAAACATTTATCTTATCTTCAGAGGTTTATTTTCTTATAGAATAAAATAAAAACCAATTTAATTTACTTGGACATTGTGCTAGAATTTTTTGTACTTCACCTGAGTTTAGGCATCTTCATAAGTCAAACAAACGGAAGATGATAAAGTGCATTTATACATACCGTAATTCATTATTGATGTTTATTAATAAATTAAAAACAATAGTAGCTTTGGCATCCAAATCAAACTTTATTCCAAAACTGATCTGCACTGTTTTCAGTTCTACAAATTATCTCTTGCCTCTGCAAGGAGTTTTCAGAAGAGATTATTGGAGACTATTGCATAGATGTCATACACAAAGATCTGTTTGAACTATTATTTGGTTTTTCAAGTGATCAGCTACTCCCATACTTTTTGTTAAAAGTAACAAAACTAATTATTAAGATCCACAGTTATTCTGGTATTTGGATTTTTCTCACATACTTCTCATTTACTAGATCATTCATTTCCATGAACCAAAAAAACAACAACCCCAAAATGGAAAACCAATATATTGACAGGATGCAATGAGAAGAAATGTAGAACGGAACTCACATTCTGTTGAGGTATCCAGAGCCTTAAAATCCTGGTCACCATCTGGGGAAAAAGCCAGTTCCTCAAAGCTTTCTGAAAGTTATTAGAGTTGGGTCCATCTAGATCTCAGGGATGGTGTTCCAAAAGACAGAAAAGACTTTCTAGAATTCCTAAAAATGCCCTTGATGGTTGGGTATTTTAGGGCCTGAACCCAAATATTTAGAAAATGTACAGATTGGAGAGCAACGATCTAATAAGTTCCAAGGTTTAATCTGCTTGGTTGATCCCTTCCAAAGTCACCAGCTTACTTGCATCACTGCCATATCAGATGCCAATGCAGTATGTTTTGTGCTTTAAAGCATTCTGGCTTGAAGTTCTTTGCTTTCTCGGTATAAATGCTACACATGATTTATCCACTGTTGAGACATTTGCTTCCCAGGAAATTAATGTCTGACTTCAAGATTATTTGGGTTCAGTGCATCAAATGAACTAGAAGCCATATGAAATTTACTAGAAGGTGATCTCTGCAATACAACAAAAGTTGAGGATTCTCTGCCCTCCCCCCCTCCCAGCCCCTTGGTTGCTGACATGCTAATTTAGGTTTCTTTTATTTTTCTTATATGTATCCATGTATTCATAACTATGTTTTTACTTATACTTATTATCTTGTAAGCAATTGATAAACCAAATAAATAAATAAATAAATAAATAAATAAATAAAAATAGGTGAGAAAAATGACTAAGTCCAGACTGCATTTATTCAAACATTTTTAACATAATCACCGCCTTTCTAGCACACTTGAAAACCATTAAAGTAACTGAATATTAAATAATCTTTCCATAAATGATCACAATGATTTTAAGGAGAAAGGCTGGGGTGGGGAAACCTTCTCTAAAAAGCTACTGGATAGACAAGTATTTGCACATTTATTCACAAAATGTTCTAATGCAACAGAAGATAAAAGGAACTCTAGCCCTTAATACCAACAAAATGCTACATTTTAAACATATAAAAATACACATTAGTCACTACCTGGCAATAAAAAAGCAATTCTGCCATGAAAATCAGGTTAAGTAACTGATAATATCTGCTTCTGCTATAAATATGAGCTGTATATTAAAAGCAATCAGACATGTTTTAGATCGGGGTTGCCAACCTTTTGGACCTCAGAGGCCACCAAACTCATAATTTTAGATCCCAAGGACCACTAACCGGTTCTGTGAGCATGGCCTAATTTGTGGGTGTGGCTTGGTGGTCATGTGACTGGCTGGGCATGGCTTGTATGTAAATATTATAAATATTTATATAGATATTGATTTTTTTATATAAAAAAGAGCAACTTTTACCCAAAATCAGGCAAAGCAGGCAGGCAGATTGAGTTGCTCACAGGATCACAGATTCATTCAGAGATCTATCTATCTGCCATTGGCGAGCTCAGTCTGTCACATAAAATTTGCTTGCAAGCAAACTCACAAAATTAACTCATAACACACCATGCACGTAAATATTGAATTTTTTATTTTAAAAAAGAGCAACTTTTACCCAAAATCAGGCAAAGCAGGCAGATTGAGTTGCTCACAGAATCATTCAGTGATCTATCTATCTGCCATCAGCTAGCTCAGTCTCTCAAATTTGCTTGCCGTGAGTCTGCACTGAATTTGCTTGCAAGCAAACCTTCAGTCCTAAGGGAGGTTGAGCTGTGCTGAGCCGAAGATCTAAAGCTACCTAGAAAGCAAGAAATCCAAACCATTTCCTGCTTCCTAGCTAATCTAAATCTCCTGGCACAGCAGGACAGATGATAGTCGGAAAAAGGAAAAATAGCAATTTAGCAGGCAAGTTTGTCAGGTAAGGAGTGAGTGGGCGGAGCGGGTTCCGGCAGGCCATGTGGGCGGCGCAGCCTTGTGTTTCTGTGCAGCCTGGATTAATTTGTGGGGGGTGCTCTGGGGGTGAGATTTCTCTGCGGCCCACCAAAATTTTCTCACAGCCCACCAGTGGGCTGCGCCCCACCAGTTGGCGACCACTGTTTTAGATTATTTAGGTTAGTTCAAAAGAACTTGTCTGTTTAACGAACCATTTCTTTCAGCTACAGATGTGAAATACAGATGTGAAGAAAGAGCAAATTACCTTTTATGCCCTAAAGTTTATAAGCTGTATTGATATTGACTTTTCAAGGCATACTTACAAGGTTTTGCCTGTTGTAAAATGACCTGTTCTGTAATTTCCTAGTAATCTCCAGCATCTCTACTGTTGATCCATTCAATCTAATTTAATCCTTCATTAAACCAGATTATCCAGATGTTGTGATTTGCAGAGAGAAAAGGGTTTGTAGTAGATAAAGTACATCTTTGTAAAGAGTCTAGGAGCAATACTTTTATTTTATATTGACATAAAGCAACATAATCAGAGTGACATGTCTAAAACAAACAATACTGGGATCTGACTGAAAGAGCTAAGCTAAATCCTTTTGATGGAAAGTGCTGCTTAAGACATCTAATTCAACTACCAACTTACTGTGGGAATCACAGCTAGGTGGCTGCCCAATCTTCCACTTGAATATATATAATGAAAGATAACCCACCATCACTTCACTCAGGTAATTGGTTGCACTATTAAACTATTCTTATTAGGACGGGTTTTCTTTTCTCTGTACATTCAATCACAAATTGTCATCCTGTC